ACTTAGCAGAAAACTATTTGATCAGCAGAAACGTCCGTAAGACGGGAATAGAGGTTGAAGGTGAGTGTACAATCAGGAAAAAACTCATTGAACTTAAATGTGGATTTGATTAAACTCAGCCTGGAGCGGAAATGCTAGAAAGTGAAAGAAAACAAAGCAGACCTAAGGCCTGCAATGTTTAGGGGAAAAGTACACAAAATAAAAGAAAGGCGATGACCCTTGGAATTTCTGGCGCCTTCTCTGGATTCCAGGCCAACACTGGTTTTCTCAACGAATGGGTCACATCCAGGACCTGAGGCTTCCACAGCCCACGTTTTCCTGGCTGCCTGGACAGACTCCCCATAACTTTGCCTTAAACCATTCCCTGTGGGGAAGCCTCAGATTCCACAGAGCTGGGGAGTCATCAGGCTCTGTTATCAGCCCCTAGCTCTCAGAAAGAGAAGCCAAGAAACTACGAAAGCAGAGGGAAAGGGGAGAAAGGCAAATAACAATAAAGAATTTTTTCAAAGAGGGGGGTACTGCGCAACTTAAACGTCATCTCTCATCAAGTGAGGAAATTGAACGTTGACCATCAAGTCATAAGCAAAGGTTTTTAGAGTCACATTTGCCTTCAGGTGGGGTCAGGGATCCCATGGGACGAGGGGGGCTCAGACAAGGAGGGTGTTAGATGCCTGAAGTACAGGTTGTGCTGCTGTCAAAAGAGACCCCAGATCCAGTAGCATAAGCAAGACAGAGATTTCGCCTTCAGGAGAAACACCCGTCCTGGTTTTGCTCCAGTGCACACGAGGCCCAGGCGCCTTCCATCTTGTTGCTCTGCCATCCTCACAAAGCAGTTGCTGCCTCACAGCCCAGGACGGCTGTTGCAGCTCCGTCCTTCATGTCTGGTTTTCTGGCAGTGGGAAGCGGCAAATGGGAGTGGGGCACAGTCCCCACCTTTACTGGCCCATTCCGGAAATTGAATTTACCCTTTCTACTCAGCCCATGTGGCCACGCCTGGCGTCAAGAGACTCTGGGAGGTATGGTTGTGATCGGGGCGGCCAAGCACCTACCCAGAAAGTGAGGGGCCCACGAGAAAGCTGTTTCCCGTGCCACTGTGCCCAGGTCAGTCCCCTGCAGGGTGGGTGCCCAGTATGCAGCGGCGTGACCGCTGTTCACTTCTGTTCACTTATGCCTAAGCAAACTGTATTTACCAAGAAGTAATTAATTCCTTTCCCCCTTAAGCAAATATGATTAAACTCCACTAGAAGCAAAGAAAGCTGAGGTTCTAACTGACCCTGGAAGCTTGTTGGCCGGGGAGTGGACACCTTCAGGCTTTTCCCACAGATCCCGGGTCCATAGTTTCCTATTCAGC